AACTCTGGGAAATATGTTTGAGAACTTGCGTTGGAGTTTGTAAAGCAGTTGCTCCATTGAATTGGCTAACTCCTTTTATGCGACTAGGGAGATATGCTTCAGCATTTGGAATTGAGTGTTCTGCTGGGGGCCTTGACATTTCATCAAGACCCTTTGTAAATAAGGTGCCAATTGATAGATTAAAGTGCAAAGATGATACTATATAGAGACTTAACTAGTTCATCTAGATGTTTATACACTAACTTTTTTTCTTTTCTTGTGGAATGTATGTCTGATAATTTCTGATTAACTAATTGGATAAGAACACATTTAACTGTATAAAAAGGGAGATATTGTAATTTTTGTAAGCACATCAGAGAATTTTTTTTAAAAAAAAAATAATTATCATAGCATATCTATTAGCCCTAATCTCCATTGTTCCATAACAGCTATCCTCCAAATGGAGTAGCAGAAGTAAGCTCTTCCATAATATTTTTGGCCCCAAAAAAATACAGAACAGAAGAACAATTTATAATATGCTTTTCCTTGTGAAACATACAGAGTTGATGAAACACGCCTTGTGGGAGCGTCAAAGCAAAGGCAAAGCGTAGTTTTCACACATCAAAATATATATAGTCACAGATTCATGTCAAATTTCAAGGAAAAGCCAAATAAAAAGCGGGGTTTCCCATTAAAATTAATCCAAAACTTTGAAAACACACTAGGAATTGAAATTCAACAGGAAGATTAAACTTACTGTGAAGAGGATTTCAAATTGGAGCTGAAGTTGGGGAGAGTTATGGAAGAAGAACGCAGAGGAAGAAGAACGCATACACTGCAACAGGAATGGACAAAAGAAAAAGAGACCGTATGTTTTAGGATTTTTTTTACTGAGGGGTAATTTCAGAATTAAGAAAAATTATAAGAGATAAGAATGTAATATACTTGGTCAAAGCAATATGGCTTTTAAGCCAATTTCGAAAAAGTTAGGCTTACCCAATTTGTTGGTTTTGACTTTTTTTAAGCAGATTTTAACTTTTTTTAAGCCCTTTTTTTAGTTTCCAAACACTACTGAAGGTTAAAAAGTGGCTTAAAAGCTAAGCCCATCCAAGCAGGCTCTTAGAATGTGTTAGAATGTTAGTATAAATGGGTATTTGAGTTGGGTTAAATGGGCACGGGTCATTAAATAAATAAGAGAAAAGCAAAAAATAAAAATAAAATTCCTGCACCCCCAGCCCAGCGCTCAGTGCTATGCCTGGCGCTGGGGGATTTGAAACTTTTTGTTTTCAGCGCCACAGGTACAGCTGGGCGCTGGCCTGGGCGTTGTTTTCGAAGATTGTCGTTTTTTTAAATTTTTTATTAACATCCCGATCCCCCGACCCTTTAATATACTCAGTTTACACGTCCTACACCATTATATCTAAAAAAAATTATTCCTACGAAGAAAATGCAAACTCTATCTACTATAACTAAAAAGTAAGAAGTTAAACTAGGAAAGAAATAAAAATTGGGTTGCCTCCCGACAAGCGCCTGATTTAACGTTGCGGCACGACGCATAGTCTCGCTTACTCATCAGCGAGTACAACCTTGGTCTTCTCAGGATTAATTATTGCTCCCCAATAGTGCTTGACTCTATGTCCATTCACCAAGAATTTTCTTTCACCATTTAAAGCTCGCAACTCAATTGCACCATAAGGAGTGACTCTCACCACCTCAAACGGGCCTGACCATCTCGATTTTAGCTTCCCAGGAAATAGCCTTAGCCTAGAATTGAATAATAATACCTGTTGTCCTGGCTCGAAGTGGCGCGGCTTGATGTGCTTGTCATGCTATCTTTTTGTCTTTTTTTTATAAAGCTTAGCATTTTCATAAGAGTGCAGGACTCATCTAATTCATTCAATTGCAGAAGTCTTTTTTCGCCCGCGGCTTCAAGGTCCATGTTGAGCTTCTTAATGGCCCAATACTCTTTGTGTTCAATTTCAACAGGCAAGTGACATGCCTTCCCATAAACAAGCTTATAAGGGGACGCCCCAATTGGCATTTTATATGCAGTTCTATATGCCCATAAGGCATCATCTAACTTTGCAGCCCAATCCTTCCTATTCACACTCACCGTCTTCTCTAGTATTTGCTTTATTTCTCTGTTTGACACCTCAGCTTGCCCACTTGTTTGAGGATGATATGTTGTAGCAACTCTGTGGCGAACTTCATATTTAGCTAGCAGGTTATTCAACAACCAATTGCAAAAATGAGTTCCCTCATCACTAATTAAGGCACGTGGAGTCCCAAACCTCGAAAATATGTTCTTTTTCACAAACGCAGCTACCACCATGGCATCATTTGTTGGCAGGGCAATTGCCTCCACCCATTTCGATACGTAGTCAACTGCGAGCAAAATGTATTTGTTTCCTCTGGACAATGGGAAAGGTCCCATAAAAGCTATCCCACACACATCAAAAATCTCAACTTCCAGGATATTCAAAGGCATCTCATGCCTCCTTGTGATTGTTCCTGTTCTCTGACATTGGTCACACTTCTTAACAAACGCATAGGCGTCCTAGAATAAAGTTGGCCAAAAGAAACCGGATTACAATACCTTTGCAACTGTTATATCTCCTCCATGATGGCCCCCATAAGGTGATGCATGACAATCATACAACACTAATTCTACCTCTTTTTCTGGAATGCATCTCCTCATCAACTGATCAGCACATTGCTTGTACAAATATGGCTCATCCCAATAGTAGAAGTTCACATCATGTAGAAACCTCTTTCTAGCTTCAGATTAAATTTCAGGAGGAAGTACCCCACTCACAAGATAATTCACATAATCTGCGTACCATGGGGGAGGATCTTGGGTGATAGCAAAAAGTTGCTCATCAGGAAAGATTTCTTTAATTTGACCACCCTCCTCTGCGTGGTTGTGATTTTCCAGCCTTGATAGATGGTCAGCTACTTGGTTCTCTGTCCCCTTTCGATCTCGTATTTCTACATTAAATTCCTGCAACAACAAAACCCAGCGCATCAATCTAGCCTTAGATTCCTTTTTTGTAAATAGATACCTAATTGCTGCATGATCGGTATGGACTATGACTTTCACTCCCACCAAGTATGCCCAAAATTTTTCAAAAGCCCACACAACAACTAACAACTCCTTTTCAGTGGTGGTGTAATTCAGTTGTGCATCATCAAGAGTCTTACTCGCATAGTAGATGGAATAAAACACTTTGTCCTTCATCTGGCCTAGCACTGCCCCAATAGCATGGTCACTCGCATCACATATAAGTTCAAATGGTAAGGACCAATCTGGTGCCACAATAATGGGAGCAGACACCAACTTCTTTTTGAGTTCTTCAAATGACTTGAGGCAGTCGTGATCAAAGTTGAAAGTTACATCTTTGTCAAGCAACCTGCACAACGGAGTAGCAAGTTTAGAAAAACCTTTAATAAAACACCGATAGAATCCCGCGTGTCCCAAGAAACTCCGGACACCCTTCACTGAAATAGGTGGAGGTAATTTTTCAACCGCCTCCACCTTCGCCATATCAACTTCAATGCCGCTCCTAGACACTCTGTGACCCAACACGATGCCTTCTTGTACCATAACATGGCACTTTTCCTGATTCGGTACCAAATTTGTTTCTTCACAACGGGCCAACACCTTGCTTAAATTCCTCAAACAATCATCATAAGATGACCCAAAGACTGAAAAATCATCCATAAAAACTTCCAGAAAATTTTCCACCATGTCGGTGAAAATAGCCATCATGCATCTCTAAAAAGTGGCTAGTGCATTACAAAGACCAAACGGCATTCGCTTGAAGGCAAAAATGCCATAACGACAAGTAAAAATGGTCTTTTCCTGGTCCTCTGGGCATATGACAATCTGATTATATCCCGAATAACCATCAAGGAAGCAATAATATTCATGCTCGACTAATCTGTCCTGCATTTGGTCAATGAATGGAAGTGAAAAGTGGTCCTTTCGGGTTGCTTTGTTGAGCCTTCTATAATCAATCTATAATCAATGCAGACTCTCCACCCCGTCACAGTGCGAGTAAGAATTAGCTCATTTTTCTCATTCTCAATCACAGTCATCCCCCCCCCCCCTTGGGCACACATTGAACTGGGCTTACCCAGTTGCTGTCAGAAATAGGAAAGATGTTACCTGCATCGAGCAATTTGATTACTTCCTTTTTCACAACCTCTTTCATAATGAGATTTAACATTCTCTGTTGCTCCACACTGGGGCAGTGTCCATCCTCCAAGAAGATTTTACGCATGCAAAACGATGGACTAATTCCCTTGATGTCAACAATAGTCCATCCAATAGCCTTTTTATGCTCGCGGAGTACTCTGAGCAATTTCTCTTCTTGAGTGTTAGTCAAGTTGGAGGAGATAATCACGGGCAATGTCTCAGAGTTCCCCAAATAAGCATAACGCAGGTGCGTTGGTAGAGGATTAAGTTCTACGTTTGGAGTTTCTTCAATAGATGGCTTAGGAGGGGTCAGAGTGATAGGTCTGTCCAACTCCTCAAATTTTCCAAACCCATGGACATAATTGCAGGACATATCAATTACTTGCTCAATTTCTCCCATCATTTCATCTTTACTATCTTCTTCATCCCCAATCAAAGCTCGTTCAAGAGGATCTACAGGGCTCATATAAGGCACGAATGATGTAGCATCACTTTCCACCACAGAAACCATGGATAGCTCTTCATAGTGGGCTGGTAACTTGAGTGCTTTATAAATATTGAATACCTCCACTTGATCACCCGCTCTCATTGTCATCTTTCCTTCGCAAACATCGATAATAGCTCGGACCGTGGATAAGAATGGACGCCCCAACATAAATGGGACTTCCTGATCAGGCTCGTAATCCAAGATAATGAAATCAACATGGAATATGAAAGAACCCACTTGAACTAACACATCTTCAATCACTTATTTAGGATGAGCAAGGGAGCGATCAGCCAACTGTATGATAACTGTTGTTGGGCGTGGCTCACCCAACCCCAACTATCTGAACACAAATAGCGGCATCAAATTGATGCTCGCTCCAAGATCACATAAAGCTCGCCCAACTGCATGTTTACCAATCGAGATTTGGATAGTGAAACTACCTGGATCCTTCAATTTCCGAGGTAACTTGCCTTGAATTCTTGAGCTACACTCCCCAGTGAGTGCCACAGTTTCGAACTCGGTCAGCCTCCTTTTATTTGCCACTATGTCCTTGATATACTTTGCATATTTGGGCACTTCTTGTAAGATGTCAAACAATGGAATATTAATTTGCACCTGCTTCAAAATATCAAGAAACTTTTTATATGCGGCGTTATCCTTTACTTTCTGCAATCTTTGAGGGAACGGAGGTGGTGGCCTTGCAGCCAATGGTGGGGGTTGCTCAGCCACCGCCTCTCCAGTTGGCTTCTCTGACTCCTTAGATTTTTCTGATGTTGATTCTATAGTGGCTGGCATCTCATCAAAATTCACCTGTTTTCTCTTTTTCGACTGAACTTCTTCTAATTGTCTCCCATTCCTCAACGACACGGCATTAAGGGATGCCTTAGGATTAGCTTCAGTGTCATTGGGAAGAGCTCCAACTGGTCTAGTGTTTTGAGCACTGGCAAGATGTCCCATTTGGCGCTCCAAATTTCTCATTGTTGCGGCTTGGGCTTGCTACTCAGCTATAAATTTCTGAGCGAGGGTTTGCTGTTCAGCCATCACTTTTTTCAACATGTCTTCAAGGTGACTTGTTGGACTCGCTTGTTGTTCAGCCTGAGGTGGTCTATATTGTTGTTGAAGAGTACCTTGGTTTCCACCCCAAGAGAAGTTTGGATGGTTCCTCCAGTTGGATTGTAAGTGTTCCATATTGTTTTGTTTGGCCCCTATTTGCATTACCCATAAAGCAGACAGACTCTGGATTAGCGGTGCATAAGTCGCTCGTGTGACCCTCTCCACATATTTCACAAAACACTTGAACCTGTTGTACCGGTTGTGCTTGTTGCTTGGTTATAATCAAGGTCATCTGATTGACTTGGTTGGTCAGTGTAGAAATCTGCGCTGATAATGCCGAGATGACATCTAACTCAAGAACCCCTGCAGACTTTTGCACTGTGTGTCTGCCCATCTCTCCTTTCCAATCCGGATTGCTTTTGGAGAATTTGTTCAATAATGCATATATCTCGTCAAAGCTTTTATCCAACACTTGACCTCCAGCAGTAGCATCTACCACAATCTTTGTTTCAGGATGTAGACCTTCTATGAAAGTGTGAGCTAATACTTCTCTTGTCTGATTGTGATGAGGACAGTCTCTGATTAGCCCCTTGAACCTCTTCCAAGCTGAGTATAACGACTCTCCCGCTTTCTGTTTGAAGGCAACTATCTCACTTTGGATCTTTGCAGTTTTGCCTGAAGGGAAGAACCTTGCCAGAAATTTCCTTGCCAAATCATTCCATGAGGTAATAGAATTAGCTGGTTCTGCCTTCAGCCATCGCTTTGCTTCACCCAACAGTGAGAATGGAAAAGTGTGAGCCTCACATTGTCTGGAGTGACTCCGTTAGTGATATAAGTATCACTAATATCCAAGAAGTTCATGATATGCTGTTGTGGATCCTCGTGTGGAAGACCCATACACTGCCCATTCGCATGAAGTAGCTGGATCATGCTGTGTTTCAACTCAAAGTCCCCAGTGATTCTGGGCTTCACAATGCTAGGGGTGACATTGGCAATGCTGGGCATCGTCACCTCCTGAACAGCCATTTGTTGCTCCTCTGCCATGTTCCCAGGAAATTGAACAAGTGCCTGAATATTATTCGTATCCCTTGCTTCCCTCAACCTCATGTGAAATGTTCTCTCAAGTTCAGGGTCAAAGCCTTGAAGTCAGTCTTGGCTTCTGACCATACGCATTCAATCAAAGTTCCTGAGATCCAAGCAACAATCAAGTAACGTTAGACTTGACGAAATAAATAATTAAAGCAAAAACTAGAAAGTAGTTAATATTCAAGTCCCCGGCAACGGCGCCAAAAACTTGTTGCTTCCAAACGCACACGCAAGTATACGTGGTCGTACAAGCAATAAAATGATAAGTCAAGTGTCGAACCCACAGAGACTTTTATCAACTACCCACTAAAATTGCTATTTAGTCAAGCTAAAATCAAGTTCAAGAATGTGATTATACTAAATTATAATTCTAAGTAATGACCAAATTATCAAGCAGTAAAATGATTGTTATGTATTCAATAGGGACAAATATTCCAGGGCTGTGATCGATTCACCAATCTTGTTGTGTTCTAGTTAACTCTCCCCTCTCATACAATTCATTCATGGTTGCTAATTAATTGATATTTGCTCTCATAGCCTTCTCCTGAAGTACTACTCGCCTATTCAAAATAGATTAACGCCTATATTCCTGTGGAATCAATCTATTAAGAACGCACTAAGATTACAATATTTAATTAAGCATGGTGACTAGGTATATGCCTATCCTAACCACAAATTCCCCCCCCCCCCCCTCCAAGAGTTAAGATCATGCTCTCTTCAATTCTTCTCTAATCTAAACATAGCTTTCCCAAGCATAGCATAGATAGTAAATAGAACCTAACTGCTGGCCAGACAATTAAGCAATTAATCACGGAATTGAAAAAAAAACCATATATTAGTGAATTGTATCAAGTTTAAGTCAATGTCAAATAACAATATTCATGGCTAAATCACAACTCTAGAACAATGGGTTTTTAGCCATTCATGATAATAGCAAACAATTTTATAAGTGTTGAATAATTGAAAATACTAGAAAAAGATGAAGAAAACTGAGATCTCTTAGCTTCCGGATGTTTCTCGTGTGTATTCTATCTCAAAAGTGGCGTCTCTCCCTCACAAATAAGTTTAGTCTTGCTTTTATACGTTTTGGATAGGTCTAGGGCCGAAATAACCGTGTCCCGATTGCTCTCGGATCATTCCTACACATAAAAACACCTCAAATTAATATAAATCAATACATTTCACATCGTAAATTCACGAAATAAAAGTAAAATATGAGGCGATATACATACAAATATATATACACTTTAAGCTAAACATCAATTTGAAAGGGAAAAAAACTAAAATTTGTCTGTGACTTTTTTTCTTTTAATATATTATATGAATTTCTAATTTAATAGCACATGATATTTTATAAGTTAATTACTAACAATTAACCGTGAATAGGCGCAGGCATTCGGGCAGTTCGGATTGGATATGAGAATTTCGGTTTGCATTTTCAGTTTTCGGATTGAAGTAATGACAATTCAAATCCAATCCAAATAAGTTTGGATTGGATCGAATTTTTTAAGTTCGGTTTCGGATTAATCGGTTTGGATATTATGGATTTTCGATTTTGAGCGTATAAGTTGAGATGTTTTTACTTTTTACAAAAATGAATATCCAAATAAAGTATGCGTGTTAAATTGCTCGAAAAGTTCCTCATTCTTGTCGCAATCATCCTAATAAAGTATTCAAGTAATGAAATTATTGTATATAAAAAAATACAGTAGAGACATTAATACGACCGATAAGAAATAGTAATAGTAAAATCATGTCCAATTAAAAAGTATTCTGACAATAATTTAGTAATTAATACTAAATATATGAGATAATATCTAATGGGTAGAGTGTTGAACTTATTACTATTGACATATGGATAATGGACTGAATATAAAGTGTAAAAATATCGAATTTTTGGATATTCAGAAATCTGAAGTACCAAATCTAATATCCAATCCATAATCCAAAAATTATAAAAATTAAATCCAATATCTAATCCGTAATCTGAAAATCCAAACCAAAAATCCAAAAAATTTGAATTTCGATTTGAATTTCGGATTTGCCCAAACTATGCTCATCGATAGCCGTGAAAGTCTTTTCACATAATAAGTGTGGGTTTAGTTCCTATTATCTCATTTCGAACACCGCGTATTTATATTAGTCAATCGATTTCCTTTTCATATAATATAAATTCACTTAAAAAAAAACACTATTTACATAATCAAATCAATTGATAAGATAATTACAAATTTACAATTAACATTATTTTATAATTTGATAAAGATAGTAACTTAAACCTATTATTACAAGTTGTACTAATAGCAAAGCTTGACATTATCACACTATATAAATTAAACGATTCTCTTCCCTATATATACACAAAATACATTAGTGTCACAACTAACCACCACCTCAATTTACTACTACAAAGAAAATGGCCTCTCTTCTCCATTTCCTATTCATCTTCTTTATCTCATTTCTTCTAATTTCCCCTACAATATCACTCAAATGCTCGTCGCAAATCTTTTCTAATAACACCCACTTCGCCAATTGCACTGATCTCCCTTTTCTCAAATCCTCTCTTCACTGGACTTATAATTCAAAAAATTCTAGACTTTCAATTGCTTTTATTGCTCCTTTGCCATCTTCTAATGGTTGGATTGCTTGGGGTATTAACCCCACCACCCCATCAATGATTGGAACTCATTCTCTTATTGCATTTAAAGAATCCAATGGCTCTATTGTTGTTAAAACCTACAATCTTACTTCCTACAAAACCATTGTAGAGTCTAAGAAACTTTGGTTTACTGTGTTGGATTCTAAAGCTGAGTCCTCTAATGGGGTTTTGAAAATCTTGGCCACTTTGGTACTACCGGCAAATTTGACTTCGGTAATGTTAAGTGTTTATCGTGATTTTTTTACCATATTTATATTATTATTATTTTTTTGTAGAAAAGTAGAAATCTTTCAGTTTTGTGTTTCTGATCCTAAAAATATTTGAGAAATATTTATTTTTAGCCGTTCTAAAAAATAATAGCCAACAAAATGTATAATTTTTGTATATGTGTATATTATATGCAAATAATATACATATTTTATATACTTTTTGGCTTCGAATGCAATTAGTTTCGGTTGACAGACCAATTTTGTATTTTGCCAAAATATTTTGGATTAAGACTTTTTCGTTTCACTCGATAGCATCAACAATGTTTTAACTCTTTTTGAGAGTTTTGTTTTGGGAGAAAATTGTTGAGAAACAAATGTTAGCATGACACTTTAGTGAACTATTTTGGAAGTGAGGTTATTACTTCAAAAAATATATATATACTTTTTTATACAATGGATTATTCATCTCGACCATTGATGTAGATCAACTATTCGAAACCAACTTTAATTTTGTTGTGTGTGACACTTTGGTATATGTTCTTGTTATAGACAGATTTACTCCCGTTTAAGATTTGGTATTTTTATATGACACCGGATTGTTTTGATCGTAACAGTTGAACCAAGTGTGGCAAGTTGGGCCAGGGGTGAAAGATGGCATACCTGTGGTACATAAGTTTGATGCAGATAATTTGAATTCTAAAGGCATTTTGGATTTGGCTATTTCTTCTGGTGATAGAAAAAAGAATGCCACTGCCCCTACTCCTGCTCCTGCTCCTGCCGCTGCTAATAATACTGGTGGACAGAATGGAAAAGAAACTGGTGGATCTTCAAAAATTTGGGAGGATGATTTTAGTTTCTATGTTTTCTTGTTGTTTCTTGGAGTTTGGTTATTGTAACCTTAGATTGACTAAATTTTCTGATTTTGTCAATGCAATAACACGATTCTGGAGGTCAAGGATTAGGGTAAAAGG